TGACAACCCAACGTCCTCGGCATGCTGAGTCCGGCTCGCAGGAAACGAGGGAACCACGAGATGACTAATAACCCCCTCCTCCCCCTCGCCCCCCCACCTCAAGAACCGTATTAGCACTGTACCGAACTGCCTGCTTTAGTCGCCTATTTTCCATGTCGCTGTAACGGCCTGAAGTGAATGACCGAAAACAGTTGTTTGCCAACACCACTTTTCAATCGTAAATGAAATGGGAATTTTTGCCGAACTAATTCCTCTGTCTCGCATTTTCGCTCCTTTCGGTAAAAATATTGGTCTCTGAGAAGGATTCTATCCTCCTCGGTGAAGCCGATCCCATTTACTAAGTGGATGCTCTGAGGCACCACTGTTTTTTATTGGGCTCTGTCGCATATCCACAGTTGCGCACGATACGTAAATGAACCGTGCCCAGTAGCAACCCGTAATCTCGAAGTGAACATTCCGATATTGCCCAATGTTTTCTAAATGCTGACTGCCCTACAGGCCCTAGAATTTTTTTGAGCAGACTTTGGACTGTACATTTTGCGAGCACGTAATGGTGGCTCGGTGAGGAGACCACCAGCGCTTCGTGTCAGAGCGAGTCTGTGACTTGGAATTGCCTCATATGTTTTAATCAATACGCAGCCTTACTTAATATGCAAAGTAGGTTCGTCATTGGTCACTGTTAGTAGTTCATCCATAGCAAGAGAAAAGAACATACTGGTGCCTGTGTATCACTTACCTCATTTTTATTGCAATCACCTTGGGGTTCAAGGACGAGACATAACCAAAGATGTAGGGAGCACGTGCGGACGTGGGAACTAACCTGACGTAGTTTGCGGGCCTCATGCGTGCTAGTTCCTATAAACGGCTATCAAACGCCAGGAAAACTTCATTTAGATCACCCTCCGAAGATGACCTTCATTAACCTTGCGATATGAAGGGGTCATGGGTCCAGTGAAGAACCGAATTCCTCCATCACTTCGCAATAATGTAAGCCACGACCGTGATAAACTTTTCATAATTTTAAGTATGCTCTGGATACTCGCAGGTTTGGCCTAACACTATTCCCCTCTCTCATTGCGTATTAGTGTCATATCTGAGACAATGTTACCGTAGATTAACGTGGGTTCCCCAAATTGCGCCAAGAAAAACCCTCTTCTAACATCAGCGGAACGCGTGTCAGGTATCCCTTTCAGTCCGATGCATCAAAATAGCGCCTGGATAATCGATAAAATGCAAGTAGTGATTCACTTAGGTTTCCTCATATCTCCAAACTCTCAAAAGCACAGGCAAATTAACCCAAATTATCTGCCTTCACACCTGTTCACTCAATCATGTTTTTTAATAAAAGTATCCCTCGCTATACTAACCTAATAAAAAATGTAGTCATTGTCACCCAGCCACCGATCCACATTAATTTTGGTCCAAGAAATTTCCGGAAAGCCAGTAATGGACCTGATCGGGTGAAGCGGCCGATGGCATATTCAATAACTATCACGGGAATCGCCCATAGGAAGACTGAAAAAATCCACACGAGAACGAAGGCGAAAGCACCTGGAAAGTAAAAACACGATGCTTATTCACAGGTGAAGTGAGAAAGGAATACGGGTGGATGCAACTATTCCAAGATAAGAATGCGGTGTTCTGGCATTTGTATGCTTTGCATCCTTTATGAATTCGGTCTTCAGTCATAATTTGGATTTTAGGTCTTCGGAGATTGCAGATCCTCTTGCAATTGAAATTTGTAATAACTACTATGTCGTATGCTACGCCCAGTATCTAAAAGCTTCTATTTTTGGCTATGCTAAAACCAAAATCAGTATTGGTCAACTTAGCAATTCTTTTAGCATACCCTCTGAGTGGCTGTTTTGGGCAGCGATGCGTGGATACAGCCAGATGTTCCCGGATCCAACCACGGCACCCACGCAGCTAAGTATGATGCTCAAGGTTGAGGAGAACTGGACGTTGTCTGCCTTTGCTTTTGCCTCCTCCTCAGCAGGCTGCGATTCATCGTTCTGGAAAAAAAGTCAACGAATTGAGACAAATTTTAGGAAATGTTTTACGTGGCTAGAGTGAATTGCTTTGTCGGTAGATAGGCAGGAGGGAAGACAATCGTAATGGCTGAGTAAGGAGAGGAATTCAATGAAGCACATACCGTAATGTGCTACCGATATTCAATTTGAAGCGGAAATGCAATCTTCTGAAATATTAACCAAAATCCTGAAATACGTTTCCGATTAGAAATGATAACTTAGGCGTGGTAATAATATTTATTATTGCCAAGATATCTTTGTCACGCCAGGAAGCTTGCTATCAAATGAACTTCTTTTCGTCTGCCTACAAAAAGAGAATGTAATGAAAACTGACTACCTAAGTAGTCCGAGCTTTACATTTAATTGTAATGCTCCTACAAATTCAAAATTTTCCAAAGATAAATGCCTCAGGCTGTTTTTTATTGTGTTCACTGATTAGCAAAGCATGTCTTCTTTACACTTTTTACACAAAAAGGTACCCTTTGTTTTAAGTGCATTTCTTTGACCTTTCTGTGGATTCCCTTAAAACATTCTTGGATTAGGAACTTTTTTTGTTTCGCAGCGTAACGCTTACAAGTTCAGTAATCCATCCCACAATCGCAGTTGGATGTAAAAAATTAACTGATGTCTATGCAGACAAAGTTGTTTTAGTTAGAGCATAAACAGAATGTAAAAACCCTGTTAAAGTGTTTCAAGCGTCCAAGAGCTTTCACGCCAACATCGACAGTTGCAAAACGACCTACAAAAACGCGTTTTAAACCCAAGGAATTACCTACAACAACATAATGCATCGAAGGCTGCAAATCACAGGTGGCAGCAAATGGTTCCGTTGGTTCAGATGCGTGACAGGGGCATCTGCAGTCTGCGAAAGCAGAAACGCCTTCATGTAGAATTTCAGTAAAGTTCTCACCTAACCATCGTGATGAAATCTACCTGGCGAGGGCCTATTCAGTTCAAAGTCCACGCCTACATGCGAATTTTTTACAAAGTGACCTATTGCCATAAGAATTTATTTGTATAGCTAGGACTTTGAGTTTTTGAGTAAACATGTAGTGAATTGCTTTGTAAATTGCACAGCTGGGGACGACATTCTCTCCTCTCACGAAACACTTAAGCTGAGGTAAAAACTTGTAAAGTTATTACAGCGTTGGCAGCGTTTTCCGCTAATCTAAGAACTGAGAGCATTAACTTGTTTAACACGTGACACAGCGCAGGCTTCTTGTTTTAAGACAAAACAAGGCAATTCCTGTTCAAACAACAAAGACTTGAGCAAATATATCTATGAAAGAATATATTTTTAAAAAGTATAAATAATGTATCCTTTCTCGTACAAACTTAGATGAATTAAGAAACCATTCTCAGTGTTATGTATTTTTTTCTAATTTGGGATCCTGAGTAAGGTTGCTAGGTTACGCCGCCTTTTATGTGTACATATATCCCCAGGCACGTAAAGCTTTAGTTTACAAAAGATGCTTCTACAAATGAATCCTTCATCTACCATTGAAAACGCGAAACGACATTTTTTGAATCCTCAAAAATCTTTCAGATATATTAAGATATATATTTTAGGGAAATGTTTCATGAGTTTGGTTTTAACACAAGCTAAAATAAAAATACCCAATTCCGCAGAAAATAAGAGGTTCTTGGGAAAAATCAAGATGTACTTGCGAATTTTCGAGCTGGTCACACTAGCCCGTCCTCAAACAAAATAAATGGAAGCGAGAAAGTAAGAATGTTACACTAGTAGGATACACGCTACCTTTTCTTCATGTGAAAATACAAAGACTGGGCGATGGCAATCCAGCCACAAGCGTCTGTGGGAAAGGATCCAGTACGGTCATTATCCTAAATTTTGACAGTAACCACCCCGATTTTCACAAAGGAAGCTGCGTCCGAACGCTATTCCACTGGACCCAATTGCTATTTCAACAGCGATGGTCTCTTCAATAACAAACTTGCTTTTCTGTATCGGTTGTTTCGATCTAACGGATATCCGATCAATTTTGTAAAGAACTGCGTTAGACGTCAAGCACAATTGTAAGATAAAGTTCTTACCAGAGATTGAATTTTTGCTGGAACACTTAGATGTTCTGAAACCTTGATTTCTGAAAGACATTTCGGACTGTAAAAAATCCTATTAGATAGACATAATTTTCGCGATGGGTTGGTTACAAAATCTACTGACGCTATGCAATAGTTGTGACATATATATCTGCGTTCGCATTGACCATATCAGACGAATTCCTCCATGCATGAAAACGCATTACTTAAGCATTCACTACAGTCGTTGCGCCAAGGGTTAATGCCGAGAACACAATGCAATTAAGGGGAACGTCAATTTTTATAGACATACACCTTCGGCAAGGCTGACCGCCGCCGAAACCATCAGTCGATATTTCCATCTCGCCAATGTAGTGGACACAGCTGCCATCTGCGGGGAAAATTTTCTAACAGTAACTCAGACCTGTGTATAATAATAATACTAGACTGGAGGGTCGAAAGCGATAAGTGCATGCTACACCGATTTTGCGCAGCGGAGATAACGTGCGCTTGAAGTATTTCATGGTGAGGCTGACGTGCTCAGCATCTACTGCGCTTTCTCGCCCCTCCTCCACCTTTACGGGTGTGAAAAAAATTATGTTAAGATGACCATAGACGAGCGCGGATATAGTGGCCGACCGTCCATCTACGCGTGCCACACACGACCTGGTTCCAACTATATGTAGCAGGATTTTCTTAGGATGGTTCGTGTCGCCCATGAATGCAGGTGTCACAGGAGCCTTACTGTGAAAAGGGAGACGTGCACAAGCTCTAATTCGCGTTTTATTCTTCTACTCACTGTATTTTGATTAAAATACGATATCAGGACTACTAAACATGGGCATGGTTACAGTGATGGACAAGGGGCATTACCCTGTCCACGCTTGCCGCACACAAGCTTGTTGTTTAATAGGTGTGTCATGAACATAACAGAATTGAGAACGCCGCACGAGCCCCACACGCACGGAACCACTGTAGCTTGGCCCTTCGTCTGGAATTTGGCTAGGTGACCCCGTAACTTGGCGGCTTCCCACGTCATGGCTGAGGGCCAGTTCTGATCGTTTGAAACTTCTTGGTATGGTTATACTCGGATAATTATACAGAAAGTGTTTGTAGATCGAGCTTAATCCCCTTTCATTTTCTTCTGCCTGCTTGCTGTCTGTTCTAGTCGAGTCGAGTAGGCATGAAAGCAGACGCAATGGCTAGCGTCACTTGACGCCGTTGTATTCCTTGCGCTACATCCAGGCTCAGACTTCCTAAAAGAGCAATAAGGGTCGACCAAGAAGAAACCAGTTACGTCAGCCTCTTCGGTACTGAGGTTACATTTTGCCTACTGAAAAGTTCAAATGCGATTGAATTCTGGTAATGAGTAAGCTATTACAATAACATCAACAGTAAAATGGTATCAGCCTCATCTTCCCTTCTCATCCTGTCCAATTCATTAGAGGCTTGCTCATTCTTTCGACCAACTGGTGAGGATACTGGAGCTTCGTGACTGCTGCGACACGAACCTCCATCTAACGCCTGCCACGCGCACGTGAGGCAGCCGGTAAGAACGTATCAGATTAACTGCAAAAAAACCTCTTAGATAATATGAACCATTCCAACTTACGTTTGGGCCTAGTCGAGCAGAAGCACAATACACTTGAGTGGTCTCTCATACAACTAATAAATATAATCGGACGTGGATCAACCTACCGAGCAATAAGTAATATAGCATGACACCATGTTGATACGTTCAAATGCGGATGACCACGGATGAACAAAGGCTAACAGAAAGTCTGAGAGCTTAAAAGAGAGCAACATAATTGCCAGGAAAATTTGTACTTAAGGGCCTGATTTTATAAAATGCTTCCCACGAAAATGCCATAATTTGCCTTTCATCCTGTCCTCTGAAGGTTTATCTAGATAATCTTTCCAATAAATCCGTCATTGTAGGCTCTCACCAGCAAAATTATGAATAGAAGCTGTCCCGTACGACCGTAATATCTTTATTTGAACAACAGTTTACTCAAATGAAATCTGGTAGGGTTTTAAAGCATATAGAACAGTCTAAGCGATAGTCATGGTTAAAAATAGCTCACGAATTAACGTGATTGATTCCTATTTACGTATCATCTTGAGAATTAAGTGCGTTTTGTGTTGATTTGTTCTTCTAAAAAATCTGTTATTTTCTGTCTTCTGTCTTCTTTCTTTCTTTCCAGCTCATAGCGTAGGTCTTAAACGAAGTAAAATATATGTGAGTACATGGTTTTATCTGAGGCCTGCCTGCATATATGCCTCATATATTGCCCCTGTATGTAAATCAAAGAGGAAAAAACTGTTGATGTTGGTTCGGTCGGGCCAAAAGATAAATAATGCAAGCCTAATAAGGAGCAGGAACTTGACTTACGTCTCTCAATTTACCAAAATCGATGTCGTCTGGTCTCGGATGTATACCTCTGACAGGATTTCTTCGCAAACCTTCGTTGAGACATTTGTATACCCAAGTGAATGGTCGTTTGGTCTCGTACCACTGTCTATCTGCCTCAATATCGACCACGCTCACGGAATTGGTTGCTTTCTCCGGGGAATCCATTACATGTGTGAGTGAAAGACGTCTACCGGAGGCCTTCTTAAATACTGCTCACGTCTCGGGGCTGCGGAGCTTGAGTACATACAGCATTTTTCATCAAGTGCTTACGACAGGCACGCTCGTTGTGGGATTGGTCGACTGAATTGACTGTTCTAATAACGACAGGTGATAGGTAGGTTTATGCCTGCTCACCGTTTGATAGTTATGTCCATGGGATGCACACTTTTCAACTATATTTCATTACCATCTCTCCTGCAATGTCAGTTAATGGTATTAAGACTTATGGAAACAACACTTTACATTTCTAGAAGATAGAATATAGGGATTCTCCCTACTCGAGGTAGAGGACGGCTTTACAGGTGCTCAGGCGTCCCCTTAAATCGAGAGCAGCCAAGTCTTTTGGTGTCGGAGTTCTAAGCGTGACACTTCAGTTCGGGCCCGAAATTTAGTACAGACTTCGATAAGTATTACACTTCTTATCGCATTAATGCGTAGTCCGTCCACAACCCTATCATTCCCACCAGAATGTGATATTTCGTACTGCAGTAGACTTTTATCAGGAAAGGATATTTATCAGGGAGTCCATTGCCTAGGAGCGCTTCTGAGTTTAAATGGTTGTCCCGCCAACAGTAAAATACGCGAAAGTCATGACCTTATTCTACTGGTGATAAAATTAAGTGTGCGAATTATTGGTTCTTGTTTAGGCGTTTACGCTTAAACCAACTGCCAGGGAAATAGTCGTAAATGAGAAATGCACCCCGCTGAAAGGCGCGTGAGATTTTTTTGCGAAAGGTGTATTTCATATGCTCCCAAACCTTTTTATTTTCAAACATTCGATTGGCTTATTAAAAGCGTTGAACAAATATTAATATAGCCACAGTTCGTAAATCACAGGGCGTTTGGCTCGCGCTATTACGTAAATAAGTGAACACGCACACGCGTTGTAATGAAGACTAACAACTTTCGATTTCTTCGACCGGAAAAGGTAACTGGTCGACAAATTCAAACGTAAGTTCGCAATATCTAGTGTGTTCAAGGAATCCTTCTGTTGGTAATAATAAACCGGCATTAAGGGGTTTTGTTTAAAGACAATGCTTGTGAAAAAAAATTAAAAAGCAACCGTATAATACGTAAGCCTCCTTAGCCATTACGAACCCTCAGGATCGTGTAAAATGGGAATGGTGGTGATGGGGGGTTTTTCGTGGGGTCTCGCTATGGAAAAACAGCGAAATGTGCACAAAAAACATAAAAATTAAATAAATTTTCATTCTATTTATTCTTCTAGGCCTATATATAACAACAGACTTGAGAGACGTATTATAAAAATAAATAGAAACAACTCTCACTAAATAAAGAGAGTTCGAATGAACAAAATACAATAAAGCAACTTTGTATATGTCGTTATATGAATGTAGTAGTTAGCACATGGAGGGCTGCTTTCTATAAATATTAAATAATAAACCAAATCACACAAGGCTATGTATTTTAAACCCAGGTGTTCACATAACCTATACTCATCCATAAAAGCTTTCAACAAATGTCCGCATTTTAACTGATTCTATCTTATGAAGTGGTACTAATGTGGTACTAATACTAAATAAGATATCTTCTCGACTATTCCGACGTCGCTGCAATCACTGGCATTGAAACAGTCACTTTAGGTGATGTGGCAACCCTGCCAGCCAAACTCCCGGATCCCCCTGTCGAAATTCCGGGGAGATAGCTTGTACTTGTACTTGTTACGGCTGTGATCATGCCTGATCTAGCCGGCCTC